TTACCATGGTGACTTTTGAGTGAAAACAAGTTGAAAAAGTATCGAGATAATCGATTATTGACATTAGTAATCGATTACCTCAATTGAAAATTATGTTTTATGGCTTTTAGAATACATGTTAATCGATTACCACAATTATTGTTTCAATTGATTTCAGTTTCATTAAAAATTGGTAATATATTACCTGTTATTGGTAATAGATTACTATTGTTATGAGTTTTTAATGATGAAAACTTATTTTCTCTATAAATATAACTCTTTTCAAAAACTTAAAAGAAAGATGGAATATTTGATTAGAGAGATCAAAGAAAGGGAAAAAACATTTTCAAGATCTGAAAATCATGTTTGAGTGAAGATCAAAACAAATTTTCAAAACAACTTTTGAAGAGCAAGTTTGAAAAACAAAAAAAGATGTCTTCATGAAAAAGAAAATCAAGAACTTCAAGATTATTGTGTTGATCTTTGTGGAAGATCACTCTACACATTAGGTGTATCAATTCTGATCTTTAACCTTTTGTTTTGTATGGCTGGGTATGTGACTCTTTGAGATAAGGTATCTCAAGAAAGAGTTTAAGAGAAATCTTGACATAGGTTTTCTCAAGTGGATTCGTGAGGTGCAATAATTCTATTATATGTGTAATCTTGTGGGATCAAGATTAGGTGATTAAGTTTAGGATTATAACATTGCTTGTACATGTGTTTGTAAATAATATTATAGTAGAAAGACTGGATTTAGTATGGAGCTAAGTCTAAAACTGGATGTAGGCCTTTGTATGGCGGAGCCAATATAGATCATTGTGCAAATTCTCTCTTAACCTTCATACCTTGTTATAATTCTTGTTGAATTGATAAAAAGAATTTCAAGAAGTGAAAGAAACATTTTCTTGAATATTATTGAAGTTAGTCATGAAACACATAGAAGGGGGAGTTGAATATGTGTGTGTGTGTAAGAAAGAATTTTAAACCATTTTCGCAAGAATAATGCTCTACGTCCAATGCACTTTTAGATACCAAACGGTTATGCAGAATTTGCTTAACACAATATCATTCTGTTTGAAAGATTTATCGTCTGCTGAAGGAAAATGTTTCATATAACAATTATGATTAAAGTTCTTGCATTTTCCTCTTCAAGATAGTTTCATTTAAAGATAAGAAGTAGATAAAACCCTTTAGTGTATTAAATATATATATTAAACAAAGTTTGCGTCTGCATCTAAAAAAATTGATTTCAATAAGAGATTGAAGGTGGACAAAGTTTTTCATAAAGGTTTAACCAGTAATGAAGATATGCGTCTAAAAGAAATATGAATTAGCAGTGCAAGTTATTTTATATTGGTTCACTCAGACCGAGCTACGTCCAGTCTCCTTCAACTGAAGGGTTCCACTAAATATGCAATTAAGTATATAAGCATTATCGACCACTTCAGGCCCGTTTACTTTATTCATCAACGCTAGTATTTTCTTATCAGCCTCTTCAGTCTAGCAATGAGTATTATGGAACACCCAGGTCAGAACCACTCCTGGTCCAAGTATCCTCGACCTCTCCAGACCTTGAGTATTCTAGACCATCCCGGTCACGGCCACTCCTGGTCATGAGTATTCTCAACCACTCCTGGTTGGCTAGCTTCACTCACCAGCTCTAGTATTCTTAAATCACTTCTGATCCCCTAAGTATTCTCGACCACTCCTAGCCTGCCAGCTTCACTCACCGTCCATGAGAAAACCTCATTTTCATGCTTGACTAACCATCATCTGATTCTCTTGTTTAGTTTGCACAGGCTCGGTTGATTCTTGCATTTAATGCATCTGATCTTGCATTAAATGTTTTGCTTGCGAAATTTGTGTTTCATGGAGTCTTTTTGAACTATTTGTTTGCTTCTATGTCTAACATTAATCATGACCTAGATATTTCTGTACGTTCCTGGTGTTGTAGTTATAGAGGCATTGTCCTTTACTGACTACTAGGTGTACTTGCTCCGACACACGCAGTTTTGAATTGTGGATAAGCACTCATCCATCTTGTTTATCTTTCTTCTTCTATTTTGATGTCTTTATGTGTTCTTCTGAGAGTATGGATGCCAGGTAGTTCGTCTCGTTGTTTCTACAGACACAATCCAGCATTCTTGATCTTCGTCTGTGTTATTCGAGTCTCCGTTTGGTTAGCTGTGACTTAGTTTTATCCTACGTCCATGGTCTTGTATCATTTGAGGCTTTATTATTTTCCTTCTTGTGCTGGACTTGATTTCATTTGATCTTGTTGTTAGCTTTTCCCCTTCAACTTGGTTGCTCATGTCCTTTTTCTTTATTTCTATGTTTGTGGTATCTTCTTCTGATGTATTTCCCTCTATTTGATTAGCCTTTATCCAGTGCTTGGCTTATCTCTTGGTTCTGATGTGGACAGTAACTCATGCATATTCTCTATTCTTTAACTTGCCTGTACTTATATCCGAAACACTAACACACTTGTTAGAAATGACAACATGTATTATATTTGTCTCATTCATAAACTTGTTGGGAATTGCTTTTGTCTTCGTCTGACTTAATAATTATAAGTTGCTGATTTGTGAAATCTGATATGATATATGCAATTTGGTAATAAAGTGAAAGATGGTAACTACTAAAATCAATTTGGATTACAACATCTCAAGTTAGATGAAAAACACATAGAAGGGGGGCTGAATATGTGTGTGTGAACAAAGGAATTTTAAACTTTTTCGCAAGGGACTCTTTCTTCATCCAATAAAAATATTACTTTGAATGCTTAACTGAAATTATGCAAAATTGGTTCAATAAATAGATTTTTGCGTCTGCACACAAGAAATGTTTCTTAGACGAAAACTTGTTTCTTAAGGAAAAAACTATTTCTTCAGATAATAGTTTAAATAATAGTGTTTTTCGTCTAAGGGTAGTTTCATTGAAGAATAAATAATGGAAGAAGTAGAT